AAGTTATATAGAGACTAGGAAGGAATGAACTGTCATTAAATTTTGGTTAAGAACTATTACCTAAACTCTTCACTTTCACATTTTCAATTACAGATTCTTGTTTTTAAAAAGCTATACATGTACATTTATATGTATCTATTAGATGTATAAATTATGTTATTAATCATTTTATCTTAAAGAAAAAGTAAAAATCTCAATCAAACTTGTTCCGCATATTATGCTCTCTGATTCATTACTCAACAGATGCTTCACATACATGTAAGAAGAGAAGACTTCATACTGCAGGTGTGATAAAGTCACAGCATGCAGCTTCAGCCTTAATTCCAACTTTGTTCCAAAATATTATTATTCAACGCGAAAAATTAGAATTAGCCGAAAGAATATTTTGAATCACTTCGGAAATGCTACCGTAGCACCAGACTGAGTTCACAATATCGAGTGATTTTGATTGACAGGTGTAGCGACGTTGTGCATGCATTTCGTGTAACTGTACATGTACTGCAGATTGTGGTTGAAAATAATAAACAAACAGCTTTAAAGAAAAGATATTGTATACTGTACATATATTTGTTAAGAACCAGTTCATTCATGAAACGAATTTAGTCGTATTATGTGGGCCCATGTTAGATTTGACAGGTTGATTTACTAGTAGAAATTCAATGGACCACCGTCATTTAGGATATTCCGAATCACCCCGCAAATCGCGACTCTCGGTAATTTACCTTAGTTACCGCTGTACCTCGCACGACACATGCACAGGTGTGACAACCAAACAGTCATTATTAGTAAGGTCTATACTTATTGCATACAACAAATAAAGAGGTAAACATAATGCGTTAAGTAAAAGAATTAATTATTTTAATTCATTAACTTCCTATCATTTTCGAAGAAAATACCCGTGTGGAAACGTTGCATGGTATTTCTCATCGATGTCGTGGCGTTGTTGGTGGATGAAACATGGCATATAAGGTATCGATAGAACGGCAATCTTATAAGCTTTTGTGAGTATTATTTGTTTTTAATAACACCTTAAAAATATACTAGTTATGGCCGCATTTATAGCCCCCTACAGTTTCGAACCACGTGTGTACATGCCCCTAGCCAAATAAATTGCACACGCTACATGTATACTTGTTATATGTCAGATTATTATTTTTTTTATAACATTGTTTTTCTTAAATGCAAAGGGTATGAAAGTAATGATTTGACAAAGCAAGAGCTATAATAAGACTATCCCGGGTCCCGGTATACACTTGATCAGTGTTGATCAATGGTGATATGTACGAGTACACGTATGCAGTGATATACGTCATTCTTGATAATCATGAAATCTAAACATGAGTTGGTTTAATTCCTTTTCACAATTTTTTTTATCATCATTATATCATTATTTGGTAGCCTACTCGTAGAATTATGACTGTTCAATGTTAATTATTTGCATTAAAAAAATTATATAGGTAAAAAAAATTACATAATTATCATGATTATATTTACAGGACAACAATTTACAATCAGGTAATTTCAGAAAGTAATATTCTGTTGGTATTTGCTTTTCTGCATGATCCGCCTCTGAGAACGCTGTTTTATAGTGTGTCTACAGAAGGGAGGGAGGGGGGGGGGCTTTAATAACTTAATATAAAAAACAACAACATTCAACAACAAAATAATTCTTTTCTTTTGGTAAACAATACCAACTAATTCATTAATCATAATGTTGTTATCTGACTGTTTTTAGCCATTTACCTGGTGATTCGAAATACCCGGAAGTGACCTGCAATACACTAAAAAGGTGATGTAAATATAACCCCTGTCAAGGCCGCTGTATCGTAGATAGACTCGCCGTGTACTGTAGATTTGATTTTTCATTGAATTGGCTTTCCTTTAATACCAACCAACCATTTATAAACTTGTTAATAAAATCGTTTACAGTCAAAATGTAAAAAGTGAATCAGAATACTCTAAATTTATAAATGTACCCGTTATAAAAACAACTCATTATCAATTCAGTGGACCAATAATTTACTTCAAAATAAGCTATAGATCAATAAAATTGATTTCAGATTAACCAATATTTTGTTGCAAAGATAATGTAAAACAGAGACCGGGGATTTTGTATTTCTCTGTATTTTAAACACTCGATATGCGTACATTTGGGGCACTCTTGCATATACATGTACACTTGTACATTCGAATTCATGATCGTGCTTATAAAAAGAGCATGTTCTGTACTTGCATGTATGTATGTATGTATGTATGTATGTATGTATGTATGTATCCGTAAAACTTTTCGATTTTCCCGAGAATTCATCCTCACAATGTCAATTCAGGTTCCGAAATCACAATACCTTGACATTGTGAGGATGCCGAGAATTGAAAAAGTCACCTCCACTTACAATTATCATGCATGTGTACATGCAGTTTAAAACACGAGACAGAAAAATAAATTGTTGCAAACTTAATGGTTAAGTCGGCAATTAAAATGCGTAAAACTTGAAATGAATAAATGCACGGGCGGTAAGGATTGATAAAAATAAGCGTGAGATAGAGTAAAATAAAATAATATGTAAGATTCGAAATGATTTCAAACCCAATTTTCCATTAATCGCTATGAGTACACAATGTATTTTAACACCGATATGACCCCGACTCTCTGCGGCCACGTGTGCACGAAGACTGGGTTACAAGGCGACAGAGCAGAATGTAAACTGTGCTGTAAGAAGGCGTGAATTATTGTATGTTTAAAAGTATTATTTGATGTATATAGTATAATATTTAATGAAAAATTTAATGAAGAAACAATTAAGAGACTGATAGTAAAAATTATACTTTACACAAGTATTAATACTTAATACTTCCATCACTAATTGCAATTATTTGCCTTAGCACCTTTTCAATTACAATTGAAATAGAATACAATTACACGGGACAGAGAAATAAATTGTTTGTTTGTTTTTTTTTTTTTAAAATCGTATTGCTGTGTCGACAGTGAACAGGCCGGTAAAAGCGATTAAGATTCGAAATGATTTTATGCACTAGTGTTTGAAATTAAGATTAAATCAAAGATGCAATTACACGGGACAGAGAAATAAATTGTTTGTTTTGTTTTTACTTTAAAAAAAATCGTATTGCTGTGTCGACAGTGAACAGGCCGGTAAAAGCGATTAAAATTCGAAATGATTTTATGCACTAGTGTTTGAATTTAAGATTAAATCAAAGATGAGATTAAGTTATCTTAAACTGTTAAAGATTCAAAAAAAAAAAAAAAAAAAAACCAAACCACAATGTTTCATTAGTCGTTTCTACACGATGGATTTAAAACGTGATCACAGTCTTCACAGATATTTGTTTTGTTTACATGGTTTATGACCGCAGGTGGCTGGTCGATGGTGACCTCGGCAACGTGGGATCGCGGATTGTGTTACATAACAAAAAACATCTAGGTGAACATGGAGAACGTAAAATGCGTACAGTTAATGATCATTAATTATTCGAAGCTTACAGTTTAATATTACTTACATAGTTATATAGATACATTTAATTCCTTCCTTTATTTGAAGACGTTGTTCCCTTTAAAACTAAATTAAAAAAGAAAAGAAAGTTGTAAAAAATAATTTATGGGTGAACCACAGAACACGTTTAAAACCTTATTTAGAAGAAAATTAACATTAAATACAGTAGGGTATATTATTTATAGCAAGTTTGTTTAAGTTATACACATGAAGAGTTCTGATTTACTTGCCGAATGAAAACGCTTACCTGTTTACGGGACCTGCTTTTTACCTACATATTACGACATATTACGCAATACTCGAACAAAACAACATTTTTATGAGATCAATAAGGTGTTAAAGAGCAACTTTAATTCCTAAATCCATATCGAAATATTTACCGTTTTTGAGTTATAAAGCGAAAACTTTCAAGGGCTCTAGATCCCTCATTTTAGGGGCCAGCCCCTTTTAAATGATATCAAATGAAAGCTCTTGGAATTATGCACAACTTTTATTCTACATGTTTTAACAAATTATTTTTAGTTTTAAAGATATAAAGGAAAATATGTCAAAATTTTTGCTCTTTTTCGCGTTCTAACTTTTGACCCCTCTCTAGCGCCATTTTTAATGCAAAAATCAAGAAAGAAAAACCGATGTGCACAACTTCAATGCTTCTTCTTTTCAATTTCAAATGGTATTGTGCTCCAATTATTACAGTTTCCGAGCCTTTGTCTGGAAACCAGAGGCATAAAAATTTCAATCAAAGGGGAATAACTCGTGAACAGAAGGTAATTTCCGAATTGTATTACAGTATTCTGAAAGTGTTTTGTAAAGTCTAAAAGCTCTGAAAATTTGAACAAAATCCGTTCAGAAATGAGGAAGATATGAAGCTTCAAAGTTGGCGTCTAGGAAAAAAAAAAAGAAGAATAATAAGAATAATCTTAATCATTACAATCAGTAGAAGGTCTTCCGTTGGAAACGGAAGACCTTAATAATCTTAATCATCACAATCAGTAGAAGGTCTTCCGTTGGAAACGGAAGACCTTAATAATCTTAACCATCAGAATCAGTAGAAGGTCTTCCGTTGTGACGGAAGACCTTAATTATCATTATGTCATTCGCAGCTCTAGCATATTCAAACAATTATTTACTAGTTGAACAACTTTTCAATCTTTATCCATCATGCACTTTTACCACTTAATTATTATCCGGCAAAACATGACGATTTACGTTCATATCTTACACACTCCCAGGCTGGGGAGTACCTATTGTAAACTCTTTCTATATAATCATAAATTAATAATTATCCGATGACAAATGAAAATTAAATTCAAAACATAATAACAAGAATTAAGACTTAATTTAAAGCAAGTTTTTTAAATATTTTACTCATGATTTTATACATGTTATCATTAAAGAATTATTTTACTGAACTATAATAAAGAATAATGTTTCATTTCCCAACGCGCACTTTCTAACACAACCACAAATAGATCGGCCGCTGCATAACAGTATTACACTCAAGGTTCACGTCAAAACATGGCCGACCCAAAATAATTCCTGATTTTTTCCCTTGATTGCAGGACTTTAGCAGAGAGGTAGGTGCCCAGATTTTTTCTGAGATGTAAAACAATATATTCTTTTCCAGAAAAAATAGAAGAAACTAGAGCCGAGCTCGTTGCAATGCAACGAATAGGTCTTCCGTCGGAGCTCCGGACAGGACAGAGCGACCTTGAGTCAAGGTCATGCAACATTTTAAGGTTATAAACAATCCTGTAAGGGGCATCAACTTTCAATGTTTCAACAGTAGAAAGACAGTAAAGGAATGTAAAATTCCCCTGTCAGTGAACTTGAACTTGTTCAAATAACTTTGCGTCAAGCCATGACACATTCTGCAGCTGGTTAAGAGCAAACACCATCTTTATGTCACCGACATAAAAAAAAATCACAGTCACGTATTCTTTCAGACTATTCATCCAAAACATCATATTCTAAGTGACCTAAGTGACCTGATATTCTAAGCGAATTTAAGTCAAGGCCATTACACACTCTGGATGATATATTTATCATCTTTTCAGTGAAATGCAAATGCATGCAATTTTTTCTATTACAAAAGTATAGACCTTTTTGTTTATTTGTTTGTATGTTGTTTAACGTCCCTTTCGAGAATTTTTCAATCATATGGAGACGCCACCATTTGCCGATGGAGATCTGCAAATTTTGACCTATACTCGGCACACATGGCCATTTAGCAGTGAGGGATCTTTTTCGTGCCAGCACCTACTGCCAGACGGGACCTCAGTTTGTACGGTCTCATCCGAAGGATCAGTCTCTGCGTCCCACAGTGGGATTCAAACCTGCGACGTAAGGATCAACTCCATAATCCACGACTCTAGAGCAGACACTCTTACCACTGCGCCACTTGGGCGACTAGACCTTTTTGAATTTTACACTTATTATATCAGTGACCTTGAACTTGCCTAAGTGACCTATGTTAAGGTCAAAAACAACCTTTGAACAAATTATGAGCTTCCAGTGATACCCAATGACAAAGATATACCTGAAAAAGAATATTGCACTTTTCTGTCAGTGACCTTGAACATGCCAGAAAGACCTTGGATCAAGGTCAAAACACATTCTTGGATCATAAGCAATCTCTGTATCAAGTAAAAGCTTCCAGTGATTTTATATAACAAAGTTATAGCATGTGGAAAAAAAATAATATTTATCTGCCAGTGACCTTGAACTTGTCAAAAAAACCTTTGTTCAAGGTCAGGAAAACCCATCTCAAGCAATCTGAGAAAAAGTTTCCTGTGTTCCTCCCACCCCTTATGAATTTATAATCCAGGCACGAATTTTGCCACTTCTTCTGCCAGTCGAGTGCTATGTTATCTCAAACCGGTGGATCATAAGCAATCTTTGTTCCAAGTATGAGCTTCAAAAGTTATAACACATACAGTAATCTTACAGTTTTCTCTCAGTGACCTTGAACTTACAGGAATGACCTTGGATGAAAGTCGTGTCAAACCCTTTAATTTTGTCATAAGCAATTTCTGTATCAAGTATGATACTTGCTATTTTTTTCCAATGACCTTGAACTTGCTGGAATGATGTTGGATCAAAACCATGACACACCTTCGGATCATTAGTAATCTTTGTACCAAGTATGACCTTCCAGTTTCTTCATAACAAAGTTATAATATCCTTGGCGAACTATCACGTACAGACGGACTACTAGGCAGACGGACAGTGTGATTCCAAAAGACTCAAAACACCCCCACCCCAAACCCAGACACTTCGTTTGGGGGGATATATAAATTCCTTTGTTAAATTATGAACACTCTTTCCGGCCCAAACCTTCTCCCTGGAATCAATATTTGAAAAAAAAAATTTGAATGTATGCTATGTTGGAAATTTTCTCATTCTAGTCCAGGGATTCTTGAGAATACTATTTTCAAATGACCCCATGCGCGGATCTAGAGTGGGTTGGGGGCAGTTAAATGTATACACTAAACAAGAGGCCCATGGGCCACATCGCTCACCTGAGTAACTTTGGCCATGCTGTTCATTACCAGACTCCCCCCTTGTAATACCTATTGTGGCCCCACCCTACCCCCAAGGGCCATGATTTGAACAATTTAGAATCTACACTACCCCAGGATGCTTCCACATAAGTTTCAGTTTTTCTGGTCCAGTGGTTTTTGAGAAGATTTTTAAAGATTTTCCCTATATATTTCGATGTTAAACTTGAGATTCCCCCTATTGTGGCCCCGCCCTATCCCCGGGGTCATGATTTCAACAATTTAGAGTCTACACTACCCCAGGATGCTTCCACATAAGTTTCAGCTTTTCTGGCTCAGTGGTTCTTGAGAAGAAGATTTTTAAAGATTTTTCCTATATATTTCAATGTAAAACTTGTATTCCCTATTGTGGCCTCGCCCTACCCCGGGGGTCATGATTTGAACAATTTAGAATCTACACTACCCCAGGATGCTTCCACATAAGTTTCAGTTTTTCTGGCTCAGTGGTTCTTGAGAAGAATATTTTTAAAGATTTTTCCTATATATTTCAATGTAAAACTTGTATTTCCTATTGTGACCCCGCCCTATCCCCAGGGGTCATGATTTCAACAATTTAGAGTCTACACTACCCCAGGATGCTTCCACATAAGTTTCAGCTTTTCTGGCTCAGTGGTTCTTGAGAAGAAGATTTTTAAAGATTTTTCCTATATATTTCTAAGTAAACTTGTATTCCCTATTGTGGCCTCGCCCTACCCCGGGGGTCATGATTTGAACAATTTAGAATCTACACTACCCCAGGATGCTTCCACATAAGTTTCAGTTTTTCTGGCTCAGTGGTTCTTGAGAAGAATATTTTTAAAGATTTTTCCTATATATTTCAATGTAAAACTTGTATTTCCTATTGTGACCCCGCCCTATCCCCAGGGGTCATGATTTTAACAATTTAGAGTCTACACTACCCCAGGATGCTTCCACATAAGTTTCAGCTTTTCTGGCTCAGTGGTTCTTGAGAAGAAGATTTTTAAAGATTTTTCCTATATATTTCTAAGTAAACTTGTATTCCCTATTGTGGCATCGCCCTACCCCGGGGGTCATGATTTGAACAATTTAGAATCTACACTACCCCAGGATGCTTCCACATAAGTTTCAGTTTTTCTGGCTCAGTAGTTCTTGAGAAGAATATTTTTAAAGATTTTTCCTATATATTTCAATGTAAAACTTGTATTTCCTATTGTGGCCACTCCCTACCCCCAGGGGTCATGATTTGAACAATTTAGAATCTACACTACCCCAGGATGCTTCCACATAAGTTTCAGCTTTTCTGGCCCAGTGGTTCTTGAGAAGAATATTTTTAAAGATTTTTCCTATATATTTCAATGTAAAACTTGTATTTCCTATTGTGGCCTCGCCCTACCCCCAGGGGTCATGATTTGAACAATTTAGAATCTACACTACCCCAGGATGCTTCCACATAAGTTTCAGCTTTTCTGGCTCAGTGGTTCTAGAGAAGAAGATTTTTAAAGATTTTTCCTATATATTTCAATGTAAAACTTGGATTCCCTATTGTGGCCCCGCCCTACCCCCGGGGGTTATGACTTTAACAATTTAGAATTTTATCTATCCCAGGATGCTTCCACGTAAGTTTCAGCTTTTTTGGCCCAGTGGTTCTTGAGAAGAAGATTTTTTAATGACCCTACCCTATTTTTGTCTTTTCTTGATTATCTCCCCTTGTAAGGGGACTTGGTCCTTTATTTTAAAAATTTAAACTCCCCTTCCCCCAAGGATACTTTGTACCAAGTTTGGTTAAAATTGGCCCAGTGGTTCTTGAGAAGAAGTTGAAAATGTGAAAAGTTTACAGACGGACGGACGGACAGACAGACGGACGGACGACGGACAACGGGTGATCAGAAAAGCTCACTTGAGCTTTCAGCTCAGGTGAGCTAACAAGTAAAACTGACCATGCCCCCCCCCCCTTAGAAAACACGGACCCTTCCTCGAAAACGCGGATCTGTGTTAAAATGGTATGAAATGTCTCAGGTATGAAGCTTTAAAAGTCAATGACCCCCCCCCCTCCCCCATACACACACACAAACACACACACGAAATAGGTTTTTCACGTTTGGGAAAAGAGTTTTTTTTTTTGGCTCGTCAAGAAATTTCTGGGTTGAAATATTTTTTTATTGGGATCCCCTCCCCCCCCCCCCCCCTCCGTGGAAAAAAATTCCTTGATCCTCGCCTGCACCCCATCTAATTTTTTCTACATGTATCCGTTAAAAGAGGATGTGACCCTTCATTTGAACAAAACTTTACCAAAAATATTCTGTGTTAATTTTCGTTGTTATGGTCCAGTGGTTCTTGATAAGATAAAAATGAGAAAAAGGATGTATTTACTATTACAAAAGAATTGACCTATAGGAGAGAACAATTTCCCGGAAAAAGTGACATTTAAAAATCAATCTTTATTTGTTGTTTTCTACCGTATATATGTCTAAATTTTTCAAATTAGAATTTTACAACTAAAATTTATTATTTACAACTTCAGAATAAACCTCCAAAGTTGGCCGAAACACCATTTTGTCCGTTAAAGCGTTGATTTTTGCATAAATTTTGGCCTAGAAGTCCTTCAGGGCAGGCCTGCCCCTAAATAAAATTGTGATATTTTGATAGGTTGGGATGTAAGGAATAATTTAAGATAGGATTTTTTTAGGGGCACCCCTGCCCTAGGGTCGAAATTCACAAAAAACCTACAAAAAATAAGTAAACTTGATTTTGACAATCTGCTTCAAATTTATACCGTTCAATTTTGTAGTCACAATAGCTCATTTGATATATGCGCTGCGCTGACTTTTATATCGTGGGTACTTTATTTTTAAAGTCGGGGGTTCGAATCCACCTGTTGCCACACTTTTATAGTTTTAAATTTTTGCCTTTTTAAAGACTATTTTAATTTTTTTATAGGCTTGTGTATGTTTCTTCAATTATCTATCCTTTATGCATTCCCATTTTTTGATATAAGAAACACTAGAGAGAGATCAAATCGTAACAATCCAATATACAGTTGTCAGTCAGGCGGAACA